TGATTTTCTTGATTATGTGACATACTTTGCCTAGGCATTTTATACATTGCCTAGGTATTAAACATAATGACAAATGTACTTAAGGCAAAGTTTCATAAGAGCTTAATGAAAACTTTTTTTTTTTTTTTTGCTGGAAAAAAACATTTGAAAACGAAAGAAAAAAAAATGAAATAAGGAAATGATGTTCTTAACAACTAACCCGGAAAGCAAAAGTAGCATCGACCTACTTGTTGTAGCATGTAAGGCAAGCAAAGGTGGCATCGACCTACTTGTTGTAGCACTAAAGGCAAGAAAAGGTGGCATCGACCTACTTGTTGTAGCACTAAAGGCAAGAAAAGGTGGCATCGACCTACTTGTTGTAGCACGTAAGGCAAGCAAAGGTGGCATCGACCTACTTGTTGTAGCACGTAAGGCAAGCAAAGGTGGCATCGACCTACTTGTTGTAGCACGTAAGGCGAGCAAAGGTGGCATCGACCTACTTGTTGTAGCACGTAAGGCAAGCAAAGGTGGCATCGAACTACTTGTTGCAGCACGTAAGGCAAGCAAAGGTGGCATCGACCTACTTGTTGTAGCACGAAAGGCAAGCAAAGGTGGCATCGACCTACTTGTTGTAGCACGAAAGGCAAGCAAAGGTGGCATCGACCTACTTGTTGTAGCACGTAAGGCAAGCAAAGGTGGCATCGACCTACTTGTTGTAGCACGTAAGGCAAGCAAAGGTGGCATCGACCTACTTGTTGTAGCACGTAAGGCAAGCAAAGGTGGCATCGACCTACTTGTTGTAGCACGTAAGGCAAGCAAAGGTGGCATCGACCTACTTGTTGTAGCACGTAAGGCAAGCAAAGGTGGCATCGACCTACTTGTTGTAGCACGTAAGGCAAGCAAAGGTGGCATCGAACTACTTGTTGCAGCACGTAAGGCAAGCAAAGGTGGCATCGACCTACTTGTTGTAGCACGTAAGGCAAGCAAAGGTGGCATCGAACTACTTGTTGTAGCACGTAAGGCAAGCAAAGGTGGCATCGACCTACTTGTTGTAGCACGTAAGGCAAGCAAAGGTGGCATCGACCTACTTGTTGTAGCACGTAAGGCAAGCAAAGGTGGCATCGACCTACTTGTTGTAGCACGTAAGACTGGAGCGGCATTTTGAATTTCAAATAATTTTCTTTTTCCTACAAAGACACCACGTTTTGGCATTTGGTCTTGCACATACACTTCACGAATCATTGACAGCTTCCTTTTGACTGAGAGATAGCAGCAGATCGGAGAGGTATTTTATGGTCAGGGACGTCTTCAACTTTTAATATATTATTTCGACATACATCGAACTGTGATCTCGCATACAGTTGTTTCAAGACACCTTGTGCAGTTCCAAATCGGTAAAAGCCGTCTTCTGTCACTGTCAAAAAAAAAACTGCCCAACAGATTGCGTGAGTCACCCCGTCCCTTGTCAATGTCAGGGATAGGTTCGCACATTGTCTCCTAAAGAGTTTAGTTTAATTTTTTTTGGCCTGGATTTCAAGGTTCGATTTAGATTCTTCTAGCTTAAATCTACAGCTCTCTTAATCTTGAAATACAGGCTGCACAAAATACACAAAACACCCTAACCTTCTATTGCTTCGTCCCCATCGTCTTTAGCAGCATGCCCACAGATAACATGAACATTACGGCGACAATTTCGTCATGTATGGGCACCGCTGCTTTCTTTTAAACAGACTCAACAAACAGCAGAAGTGGAAGGATCTTCGGTAACCATGCCATCACAATCAGTTGTTTTTTTTTCCTTTAGTGGCTGCATTCTCTTGAGTATTCTGTGTAGTAGGCTCTGTATCTTGCATCTGCTGATTTGATTCTTCCTGCTGTGCTGTTTGTACACTTTCTATTATTTTGTCGAATTCTTCCTGCCTGTTCAAGGGGAGGGCACCGCCGCGCAAAGAATGAAACATGAATGTCGGGGTATTCTATACATTGCCGGGCTGCTCTTCGGCATTGTATAGACTGCCTAGGAGATGTATGAAATAAAAGCCATTTCATACTTTGCCTACAATTTTCAGGCATTCTATATAATTCCTAGGCATGAAATACAATGCCGGATTTCACACATTGTCGGTAACACACACATATATATATATATAAACACACACACACACACATATATATATAGTTATGCAGAATCCTTTAACAGGAGCAATCTACACACAAGCAACATCTCATCAAAGTTTGACTTCCATAAATTTCTTTATGTCTGATTTCCGTTTCTCAGTCACATCAGTGCAAGTGCTTATGGGCGTGTCATTTATTCAAATGATTGAATGCAAGGCATTCAACGTTCTTGAATGGATATATTTAATGTAGACATTCAATGGTCTTGGTTGGATATATTTAATGTAGACATTCAGCGGTCTTGGATGGATATATTTATTATAGACATTCAAAGGTCTTGGTTGGATTTAGTGTAACATGTATGAACGACATGGAAAAAAAATGATTCACTTCCTCACTAATTTTTTTTCTTATTTGTAATCTTTGGAACTATTCAAGCGACATTATCCTTGACATTTGTGTGTGCGGCCACCTGGTGGGCTGACGCATCTTGGTTTGCACATCGCTTCTCTAATAGTAGTACATTTTGTGAAATATCTTTGGTTATTTACTTATGAGTGTTATTACCAAAAATAACCCGTTAATGGTAAAAAAAAAAAGAAATTGACTCTTATTTTGTGTTCTTTTACTGCATTAAGTTTCCTTCTCCTAAAAGAAAGTTTCCCTCTGAAACAAATGTCACCTTAAAGAAAAAAAATCAACAGATATCTAAAGTCTCGCTCACTGCACGCGTTTTATTGAACAATCAATAAGTTGACGGTCCAGCAACTTGATTGGATGTCATCAGTAGCGTACCAGAGTAGAAAAGCGTATAAAAAAGTAGCAAGGGTTCCTAATCAGGATGCAGTTAACAGTCCCATGGGGTGCGGGAAGAACCTAGAAAAAACTTCAAGTTGTTTGCAGATTTTTACGCATTTCATATCGAAGTGATGGGGGAATCATGTTTTAAAATGTACAAGAGTGTGTGAAAGTTTTAAAATCAGAATGGGTTGGGGGGGGGACTGCCAAAAGTTAAGAACCCCTCAAATATATTTTTTTCATTCCGATATACAAAATAAATTATAACTGAAAAGAGAACTAAAAATTAAATTGGTAACTGGAACAATATTTTTGTAGAAACCCACTTGTTGCTAAGAATAATCCATCACCAGCAGTCTCACTAGCAATATTTCATCATTGTATAACCCAGGTGGACATAATTCATGAATTCCAAATCAATCTCTAATTTATTTAGATTCTTTTCATGCGTGACATATCAACATATAGACCAGTGTATCTCAACTTTGGCGAATGACTTTCAGAGGTTCAATCTTAAGATTATGGGGGACATTTAGTACTAGGGTGCTTAGGTGGAGAGTGGATACTAAAAATTTAGAAAATACAGCGTCAGAAATGCCTGGCCATCTGAAACCATTGTGAGCTCCAATTACCTGACCCTCTGACACCACTGTAAGCTCCACTTACCTGACAATCTGACTCCACTGTAAAGTCGACTTACCTGGCTCTCTGACACCACTGTGAATTCCACTTACCTTGCCCTCTGACACCACTGTGAAATCCACTTACCTAGCACTCTGACAACACTGTGAGCTCCACTTACTTGGCCCACTCATACCACTGTGAGCTCTACTTACCTGGCACTCTGACACAAATGCGAGCTTCATTTAACTTGCCCTCTGACATCACCGTGAGCTCCACTTAAAACTGGCCTTCTGACATCACTGAGAGCTCCACTTACCATGCCCGCTGACATCACCGAGAGCGCCTCTTACCTGGCCCTCTGACACCACTATGAACTCCACATACCTGGCAATCTGACAACACTGTGAGCTCCACTTACCTGGCACTCTGACAACACTGTGAGCTACACTTACCTGGCCCTCTGACATCACCGTGAGCTCCATATAAAACTGGCCCTCTGACACAACTCTGAGCTCCACTTACCTGGCCCTCTAACACCACTGTGGGCTCCACTTAAAACTGGCCCTGTGACACAACTGAGAGCTCCACTTACCTGGCCATCTGACACTACTGAGAGCTCCACTTAAAACTGGCCCTCTGACACAACTGTGAGCTCCACTGACCTTTCCCTCTAACACCACTGTGGGCTCCACTTAAAACTGGCCCTGTGACACCACTGAGAGCTCCATTTACCTGGCCATCTGACACCACTGAGAGCTCCACTTACCTGGCCCTCTAACACCACTGTGGGCTCCACTTAAAACTGGCCCTGTGACACCACTGAGAGCTCCACTTACCTGGCCCTCTAACACCACTGTGGGCTCTACCTAAAATTGGTCCTGTGACACCACTGAGAGCTCCACTTACCTGGCCCTCTGACACAACCGTGAGCTCCACTTACCTGGCCTTCTAACACCACTGTGGACTCCACTTAAAACTGACCCTGTGACACCACTGTGGGCTCCACTTAAAACTGGCCCTGTGACACCACTGAGAGCTGCACTTACCTGGTCCTCAGACACATCTGTGAGCTCCACTTACCTGGCCTTCTAACACCACTGTGGGCTCCACTTAAACTTGCCCTGTGACACCACTGTGGGCTCCAATAAAAACTGGCCCTGTGACACCACTGTGAGCTCCACTTACCTGGCCATCTGACACCACCGTGACCTCTACTTAAAACTGACCCTGTGACACCACTATGAGCTCCACTTAAAACTGGCCCTCTGACACCACTGAGAGCTTCACTTACCTGGCCCTCTGACTCCACTGTGTGCTCCATTTAACTGACACCCTGTTTTGGGTTACACCTATGGACATCGTTTACGTTTACAAAATTATAGCAAGTTTTTTTTTTCTCCTCAATCGAAAACAACATTTTTTCATATGAATTCTTAACGATCGCAGGAAGGCAAGCGGGCCCGCATTTAATTACGGTCCAACGTACGGCCATGTGTCGCACATCTGTGTAGCACGGGGATAAACACGTTGTGGAGCTCTCATTGCGACTGAAGTCTACGTATTATTCTTCGCTGTGTTGTCAACTACAGCATGAAAAAGAGGAAATGGTTTATTGACAAGCTATTTGTCTTGAAGAACGTACCTAGCAAATAATAACTTCCTTCTGTGGCTCATCAACGATTATCGCTTTTTATTTGTAAAGGCAACAGGAGCTGACAGAGCAGATTCATCGTCATTGGAAGTTGTTTTTTTTTCCGAGCATTCTTCGTCAATTTTTCTGGATTAAATTCTGTACACAGGACTTGTGTTAAAGTATACATAAAACCGAACACACGTTTCTAAGTACAAACTAAGGCTCGTTCCTATCAAAAGAAGAAGAAAAACCAAAAGTCATTAAAACCTCCTTCGCTAGCTTCTGATTTCGAACATCAAGCCAAGGAGGTCGTAACAGTGGCAAGGTTTTCTCGTCTTTGAAAGGACCAATATCCAGAAACTTACACGTCTTGGACCTAAGTTACCTAAATTTTTTCACTGCAGCAGAATTCGTTGAATTTTTCTCTCCTTTAATTCTCTTCGGACACTGACCACTGCCCAGTGAGACATTTCATTCTTATTTTATCAAAGAGCGAAACAAAAAATTCTTCATCCGTTGTTGACTGCTGATTCACCATTGTATCATGTGGTTCGACTCCTTTCGCCCATTTGCCCCCGGAGTGAAGAAATTCGCCCTTTGCCTGCTGTGCCTTCAGACCGTGGCCGTCACCCTGATGGTGAACCCGACGGTGGCGTTCGCTCTCGTGGTCGCATTCGCTGCCATCTTGATCAAGGTTTACAAGGTCTGGTTGACATTTATTACTTGTTGATTGCTACTACGAAGTAGCCATTACTTTTAAGGACTGATGACAATTTGATTTATGTATCAAGCTCAAGCAAAGTTCACAAACGCAACAAAACGTCTGGCCATTGTATGTTTTTTTTTAAAAAAAGTGAAGAAAGAGATACCTAGAGTGCCGTGGGGGATTCATCAAATAATATCATAGGGGAAACAGCACTGAAATTATTTTTTGTGCGTGGTTTGGTTGGGGGAGAGGGGGGGCGACTCAGTGTAATGAAAAAAAACAAACTGACAAGATAGCTCAATGTTGCAACAGATGGCTGTGTGTGTGGGATGATATTGATTTACACTTTAGGTGTGTGGCGTCCTTGACTTTGACTGTTTCATTCATCAAACCAAGGATTATTCAATCCCTACGTTGAACACTGTCATCAAAACACAGGTGAATGGCCAGAGAGCGTGACGACCCAAACATTCACTTTCTAATAATGATTGACGAGAGGTCAACGGTTTCTCTATAACAGTGGTTCTCAACCTTCCTAATGCCGCGACCCTTTAATACAGTTCCTCGTGTGGTGGTGGAACCCCCCACCCCTAAAAATAATAACATTATTTTCGTTGCTACTTCATAAATATGTGTTTTCCGGTTGTCTCAGGCGACCCTTATGTAAGGGCCGTTCGACCCACGAAAGGGTCACGACCCACAGGTTGAGATTCGCTGCTTTTATAGGAAAGGGGGGTACAATATGTGAGACTTTACTTACCTAGGAGTTGGTGGGCTACAATATGGTGGATTGTACGGTCGAGATGTTTTTATTAGTCGGGTACAATCAAAGTGTAATCATATTACGATAAGCACCCTCTTAACAATTTAACAGGCCCTTAAAAATACATCCGTTTAACGTCATAAAAGAAATTGTTGAACCTTGCACTGTATGAAATAATTTGTTAAACCTTGCACTGTATCAAAGAGCTTGTTAAACCTTGCACGGTATCAAATAATTTTTTAAACTTTACTCTGTATCAAAGAACTTTTTAAACCTTGCACTCTCAAAGAATTTGTTAAACCTTGTACTGTATCAAATAATTTGTTAAGCCCTTGCACTGTATCAAAGAGTTTGTTAAACCTTGCACTGTATCAAATAATTTGTTAAATCTTGCACTGCGTCAAAGAATTTGTTCAACTTTGCACTGTATCAAATAATTTGTTAAGCCCTTGCACTGTATCAAAGAGTTTGTTCAACCTTGCACTGTATCAAAGAATTTGTTCAACTGTATCAAAGAATTTGTTCAACCTTGCACTGTATCAAATAATTTGTTCAACCTTGCACTGTATCAAAGAATTTGTTCAACCTTGCACTGTATCAAAGAATTTTTTCAACCTTGCACTGCATCAAAGAATTCGTTCAACCTTGCACTGTACTTTGTCTTTACCAGATTGACCCTGAGCCCATTCTGCTGCTCCTGATGCACGTCATCGTGAGCGTCTCCATGCTGTACGACCCCACTACAACTTTCGCCCTGGTCATCGTAGCGGCGTCCGCCATCGCCACCTTCGGGGACTACGACCTGCCCACAGAGCGGGTGGTGGTCTTCGTGCTGTCTGTCACGGTGCCGGCAGTGTTTGGGTAGGTCAAGGTCGAGGCAGAGAGCAAGTGTGAAAGTCTGCAGGATTCGGTCGAGTTTTAGGGAAGTGTGTGCGCTGTTTGTGTGTGTGTGTGTGGAGGGGGAGGGGGAACCCAAGGGGGGGGACCCATTCATTTTTTGGGGGATTATTTACAGTAACCTCAACATTTTAAGGGTTATCATCTTAAACATGTGAGGCTATTACTGCAAATATATATTTAAGAGTACCTATTTGTATTGTGTCAATAATGATTTGTGAAAATATAGAAATTGTACAAAGCTTAAGTCTTGGAAAATATTTCAAATAATTACTCCATCTTAAAATATCAATTTAGGGAAGCCATATGCGGGAGATGAAACCATGAATAGTTGGTAATTTTGTATTGTTTATTAGTGAATAAATAGTAATGTTTGATTGTTTATAAGTGAAAAATTGGTTACTTTGTATTGTTTAAATGTGAATAATTGGTAACTCTGTATTGTTTCTAGATGAACAGTTGGTAACTTTATACTGTTTAAATTTATCACAGTAAGGCAACTGCATGTGTGGCGAGCTCTCTCATTGGCCTGTCCATTGTGCTTTTGAAACTGCGCCCTCTACAACCCGAGACGCTCTCCCTTCTCGGCCTTGGCTCCCTGGCCTTAACCCTTCTCGTCAACAGGGCTGTCGGCACAATCCTCGTTTTCCTCTTCATTGCTCTTGTTACCTGCCTTTTCGTCTTAAACAAGGTATGCAAAAAAATTCTCGCGCAAACTCGAGTGACATAAATATTACTCACCGAACTATATCATAAATTTTACAAGTAACGCGTAATTCATGAAATTAAATAGTTGTTTTAATTTGTACTGAATATCTAGTGATGAATCTAGATTTTTTTCCTTTAAACATAAAGATGCAAGCACAAAACCTTTCTAATTGTCACGAGTAGTCTAAAAAGCTATGACAAAGAAAAGACAAACATGCTTTTCAGAAGGGCAATATTTTTTTATATGACAAGATAGACACGATTCTTTCCTAGTTTCAAATAACGCAACTATTTATTATTTGCATTTTGCAGATTAAATTTGAGCAAATAGATAAATATTATTCAAAGACAAACATGTTTAAACAAATAAAGTATTGATATTCACTGTGTAAAAAAATATATATTCTGTAAAAAAAATTTGTGTCTGCTTCTCCTATTTCTTCATTTTCTCTAGTACCGGTATTTACTTTAAGGTGTCTATGTTCTATGTTCTATGTTCTATTTTCAGGTGAAGAAAAATCCGGAGATTCTCCAAGAAAACACCGCGCCACCCCCACGAAACATTTCTGTGCATCCCAATGGATACCTGCCTATGAGCAAGTAAGCACATGAGAGAAAGAGAGAGATAGAAAGAAAGAGCGAGAGAGAGAGAGAGAGAGAGAGAGAGAGACTGAGAAAGAAAGAGAGGACATCTGGTGATATCTTCAGAGCAACCTTCAGCACAGAGAAACTTTATCAATTGAAATTATACGACGACCTGCTAAACAATGTTTTTTTTTTTTAAATTTTAACTTTACATTTCTTGATTATTGTTATACACATAGCAGTAACCCAGTCTGTGTTGAGTAGCTCACAATTGCTTTGAAAACTTCTGTACCATTAAAGCTGACGTGTCATCAACATCTGAATTTATCCTTATCTTTAATGTTTAACATTTTTTCATGTTGATTTATTTTCCTTTTACACACATGCACATACACATACACACACATGCGCTAACTTAGATATTTTAAATGTTAACTTTGACTTTTCCAAAAGGTTAACAAATTATGGTTAAGAGCCGCCCGTGTAATTACTAGGTATACAAAAAAAAATCACTAATCATGCATATTTTGTCATATCCTGTTGCAGCATAAGAAATGCAACGCGAAACGAAAACTGATATGTTTTTGGTAATCATGTCAACAGAGATTAGTTTTTATTTCAACAAAGCTACGTACCGTTTATTCGCTTACATGAAAAGCTTCATTTGTATTTTATTATGTGTTTTTTTTAAAGTTTTATATCTTACTGTATGAAATATCAATTATGTGTATAAACCTATTTTGTACAATATAAATCAAGAACTAGGTCATTTGTTCCAGGTAAAGCCCCTTTGGCAAATAAAAAAACAATAAAAAAAAAATTAAAAAAAAGCAAAGCGCTTTGAAATTTTGCGAAATAATTAATTATTTCTTTAAAAAATTAACGGGAAAACCCAGTTGTTATTAATGTTTGTGACAACTTTGAGAAGGTTAAACATCAGGCTGCCGATGGTATCAGGCTTTCGATGGTATAAGGCAGTCGATGGTGTCAGGAAGTCGATGGTATCAGGAAGTCGATGGTATCAGGCAGACGATGGTATCAGGCAGTCGATGGTATCAGGCTTTCGATGGTATAAGGCAGTCGATGGAATCAGGCAGTCGATGGTTTCAGTAAGTGGATGGTATCAGGCAGTCGATGGTATCAGACAGTCGATGGTATCAGGAAGTCGATGGTATCAGGCTTTCGATGGTATAAGGCAGTCGATGGTATGAGGCAGTCGATGGTATCAGGCAGTCGATGGTTTCAGGAAGTGGATGGTATCAGGCAGTCGATGGTAACAGGCATTCGATGGTATCAGGCAGTTGATGGTATCAGGAAGTCGATGGTATCAGGAAGTCGATGGTATCCCGGCAGTCGATGGTATCAGGCAGTCGATGGTTTCAGGAATTCGATGGTATCAGGCTGTTGATAGTTTCAGGAAGTGGGTGGTATCATGCAGTCGATGGTAACAAGCAGTCGATGGTATCAGGCAGTCGATGGTATCAGGAAATTGATGATATCAGGCAGTCGATGGTATCAGGCAGTCGATGGTTTCAGGAATTCGATTTTTTCAGGCTGTTGATGGTTTCAGGCAGTCGATGGTATCAGGAAGTCGATGGTATCAGGAAGTCGATGGTATCAGGAAGTCGGTGGTATCAGGAAGTCGATGGTATCAGGAAGTCGATGGTATCAGGAAGTCGATGGTATCAGGAAGTCGATGGTATCAGGAAGTCGATGGTATCAGGAAGTCGATGGTATCAGGAAGTCGATGGTATCAGGAAGTCGATGGTATCAGGAAGTCGATGGTTTCAGGAAGTCGATGGTTTCAGGAAGTCGATGGTTTCAGGAAGTCGATGGTTTCAGGAAGTCGATGGTTTCAGGAAGTCAATGGTTTCAGGAAGTCAATGGTTTCAGGAAGTCAATGGTTTCAGGAAGTCAATGGTTTCAGGAAGTCAATGGTTTCAGGAAGTCAATGGTTTCAGGCTGATGCTACAGAAATTTGCAAGTGTTTTTATTTTTATTTTAGCATTAATTGGTTAAGAATCTGGGGAGTGTCGTAATTTGTTTAACGTTTGTCGAGACTAGTCTCCTACCCACCCACCCACCCCCGTCCCCCCCCTTCCCCGCCGCTTTTGACCGAAACGAAAAATTTCGAAATTTTAATCCTCACTAATAACGTTATAATGTAAACCCTTCAACTTTTATGGTAATATTGTGTACGCTATTCATGAAGAATGAATTCCACTTAAACTAAGAGACCCCTAAATCATTAGTCACTGACCTTCAACTAAAAGATGATTAGAAAACTAAGCACCAAGGAATACAGCCATACATCTATATGTATTAAATGGATCACACAATATAAAAGGAGTCGGAGAGTATTGCCGATGACGTTTCCGGCTGGAGAGCAGCAGTGAGTTTGGTGACTGCAACAGGCGGTGAATCCGCGAAACAAAGCCTTTTTTGTGCAAAAAGAAAAAAAAAATATAGAGGACCACAGTCAACCACCCTTCAAGCTTGTGTTGCAAGAATTGCAAACGAGACTGCCACACCAGGGTCGGCCCCCATAAGTAACTCAGGAAGCTGCAAATAATGCAGAAGCTACAGCATCATCTCATGACGACTAAAGGACAACCGCGCCATCTATAATATATTTAACTTTAGGAGCTACTTTAAGGCATCTGGGTACAAAGAAGTTAATTTGCTAAATACCTTGTGGATGATTGATGAATATAGCCTTCGAGTTCAAATAATGTTTATTGACTATAATTATAATATATTCGATATCTGTATATGCCTCGAATGCTACCATTCGTGTATATACTACACACGTCTTGATATATATATATATATATATATTTATTTATTTATATATATATATATCAATGCTTAGAATGTCATAATTTCTGTATATATGAAAAACGGATTGATCTCTGTATATACTATATGAACGTTTTAAATCTATCAATATCTCAAACCTAAATGGAGTGAGTCACGTGAGACAGGTGGCAAGGGGCTTGTGGGTTGTTTTTTTTCAACAAGGTGAAAATCGATGTAATCGAAATGGTGTAGAAAAAAATGGCGATAATTCTGTCGCAATAACTAGATGTTTGGGGGGGGGGGAAGGGGGGAATGACTTAATGGATTGTGTCGACATGCACACATGAAAAGGCAGCCAAGGCCTTAAAACAAATGATAGCAACAGCTTTGAAACATATGATAGAGTCGCTGCATGAAAACATATGACAGAGTCACAGCCTTAACACAGTCCAGGGCTTAAAGACAGTCCACGGCTTCAACACAGTCCCCGGCTTGAACACAGTCCGCGGCTTTAGCACAGTCCACGGCAACAACACACAAGGCGGCAATGGCTTAAATACGAACTATAATCACGACATCCAAACATATTACGGTCATGGCTTTAGCACAGTCCACTCAGAGCGTATTGAAGTGATAATTTAATCCATGAACAGATTAAAAAAATATGATACACATTTCATTGCTTAAGAACGTAAATAATCTGATATGTTGAATGTTAAAAAAAAGAAAAAAAGAAGAACGCGGTAAATTATAAAATTATAAAATTATAAAATTATAAAATTATAAAATTATAAAATTATAAAATTATAAAATTATAAAATTATAAAATTATAAAATTATAAAATTATAAAATTATAAAATTATAAAATTATAAAATTATAAAATTATAAAATTATAAAATTATAAAATTATAAAATTATAAAATTATAAAATTATAAAATTATAAAATTATAAAATAACGATATGATAATATCGTATTTGTTTGGCGGTGGTGTAATAAATCTGAAGTCTCTCAGTCAAATTCTGTGTTTTGTTTTTCGGCGGTGCAATATATATGAAGTGCCTCGGTCAAATCCTGTATTTGTTTGGCGGTGTTGCCATATACTTGAAGTACCTCAGTCAAATCCATGGCTGATGCCTTCTTCACCACTCTTTCATAATACCATACTCTTATATCCTGCGATATCCTTCCCCACCCCACCTACCCCACAAAATATATTTCTGTGATGATAAAATTTCCGGTGCCCACGTAATGTCAGTACGTAAATTTCAAAAGACTTTCCCTTTTTCCAGTCCTACAGAGAGCCTTGACCTTCACGGCCACACTGTGACTGGGGCGATGAAGGTGCTGCATTCGTTTCTACAGGAGCACGAGGAAGGTGAGATGTGATTGGTTAGCATGAGGAACGTGAGATGTGATTGGTTGGCTCGATGAAGGTGAGATGTGGTTTGTTGGCTTGAGGAAGGTGAGATGTGATTGGTTGGCCCGAGGAAGGTGAGATGTCATTGGTCGTCTCGAGGAGGTTGAGATTTGATTGGTTGGCTCGAGGAAGGTGAGATGTGAATAGTTGGCCTGAGGAATGTGAGATGTGATTGGTTGGCCCGAGAAAGGTGAGTTGTGATTGGTTCGCTTGTATGGGTAAAAGCCAGACGTGAAGAAGTCTGAGTAATTTCATTAGGTGTCTATGATATGCTGATATGTTAATATTATGTTGGGTGACGGATCTTGGGAAAAAGGATGTTTGGGGGGGGGGGTGTTACATAATAGAGAATTCGCATTTTTGCATTTGAAAACTAAGCATCCACCAAAAATGTTAAGTGTGCAGATAAAAACCATTTTTAACACTTTAATACATAAAAAATAGAAAGATATAACTTAGACGGCTTGAATTTTAGAAAACAATGTAATTGGCCATGTTAACCTATTGGTGTATTTTAATAAATTCTTACTAGAGAGTTTTGTTGTCACCATAAGTGTTCTGAAATGCTAACTCATGTTAAACATAGTTAATTAGGTACTGAAAACGTTTCGCTACAAAGATTTGAAATGTTTAGTATATTCTAATGTAAATAATCCCTTATTAAAAGCTTGTTCCATAATTTCGCTTAATGGAAGATGTCACGTGATCCAAAAATTATTATTATTATTTTTTTAAATTTCATTGAAAGAAATATTTTAAAGTAACGCATTGAACCCGCACTGTGACCTTTGACCTTTACGTCCCTAACTGTAGCATACCGCCAGAATAGGTCTAGACATATTCGTCACGTGACCATCATAACGGGAGATGGAGATCATTTGGATGGTGGGAACCTCATCAAACCGACAGTGGTCAACTTTCTTAAGATCAACAAATACAAGTAAGTGGATCAGGGCTAAACTTTCTTAAGGTAAAAAAAAATACAAGTAAGTGGGTCAGTGGTTAATTCTCTTAAGATAAAAAAATACAAGTAAGTAGGTCAGTGGTCAATACAAGTAAGTAGGTCAGTGGTCAATACAAGTAAGTACGTCAGTGGTCAATACAAGTAAGTAGGTCCTCTCAATTCAACACGACTTCGACATCATATTTCCCATTTTAACACCGAATTACGAACTTTGAGATCGCATGACATCCTCTGACATCACATCACCGACTTTCACATCACATGAACTACTCTGACATCACGGGGTTCCAAATCCCTTCTGGAGAGTAGAATATCATTGTATGCCATACACAGAAACATTAATAATCTGTATAATTAAATAATTCCATGAAATTATGAACTATTTTTTTTTCTAACTTTAACCCCCCCCCCCCTCGGGGTTCCAAATACCTTCTGGAGAGTAGAATATCATTGTATGCCATACACAGAAACATTAATAATCTGTATAATTAAATAATTCCATGAAATTATGAACTATTTTTTTTTCTAACTTTAACCCCCCCCCCCCCAACCACATTTTTATTATTTTCCTCAGGTATGACGTGTCTAAAGAAGTGCAAGGGCTGGTCAAAGTTGACCTTGACTCTCATTCCTTCTGATCGGCAAACAGTGACTTTAAAACCCTAATGTGTTTGAACTTTCACCCCAATGCTCGTGATCTATATTAAGATATAAATTAAACTTAACACTTTCCCCGGAAGTAAAGATGGATTAAAAACACACCAAAAAAAAAGCCAAATTCCAAGACACGACTACTTACCGAGAGCAACTCGTAACTTATCGATTTATCATCAAGGATGTCATCGGTTAAATAGGTCAATCCAAAGCTGTGTAAATTTCGATTTTCAAAAAAAAAAAAAATTATTCTGGCTTTATGAAAAGAAAACTAAATTTAAAAAAACACTAAAATCGTATATGAATCTGATATTTTGTAACTTACCGTAATGAGTTAAATTAATGAAACACACAACAGCAGTAATGGCAATGTCACGTTAAAATTATAAATATCTTAGCGGGTTATCATGTCAAGTCCAGCGTGAAATTCTTTTCGAAAGAACCAGAGTCAACTGTAAATCAATTTAATAATCGTTTTTCGACATACATTTTTTATATGCTCTTCTACGTTAATCAATGCAAAGTCATCCAAAATGTTCATATATTTACATTCCTTTAAACTTCATCAAACATAATGGGGCAGTGAAGCATCTCTGGATTTAGGAAATGATGGTAGACCCCTGGCAACCCATTGGTGCTGTAGGAAATGATGGTACACCTCAGATACTGTAGGAGAAACGGTTAGTTAGACAAACAGAAGCGTACGAATTAATTAGCCTCATTTCGCTACAAGATATATGCCAATAGTATATTGCAACTTCCCCCCGTCAATATTATTTCACAGTCTACAAAGCTGTGACTCCACGTGCCTTGAAAATAAAATACGTCATTCCATTGCAAGTGAACAAGTGCGAATGTGATACCTTTGTACAGCAAATATTTATTATAACTTACTTTACTATTGAACTGTTTTGTAAATAAGAAATATTTCTAACCAATAATTCTCTGTGTGTGCGTGTCTACGATATGGTGATAGCTTTTAATAAAAAGTTTAAAACATACACCCGACAGTGTTGCCTTCTTTAATTCTTGACAGTGTTGCCTTGTTTATTACTTAACTGAGTTGCCTTGTTTATTACTTGACAGTGTTGCCTTGTTTATCACTTAGTGAAAAAAGAAGGTCATTTTTTTCAGGGCCGACAAACAACAGTCTCGTGTTCGATCTCTCACTCTTATACATAACATTGACAGAACATTGATGTGTCATACATGTGTCGGATATGTGTAAGACATGTGTCAGATATGTGACAAACATGTGTAAGATATGTGTCAGATTTGTGTTAGATATGTCAGATATGTTTCAGAAATGTGTCAGACATGTGTCAGACATGTGTCAGACATGCGTCAGACATATGTCAGATATTATATTATGTGTCAGACATGTTTCAGATATGTTTCAGAAATGTGTCAGACAAGTGTCAGACATGTATCAGACATGTGTCAGACATGTGTCAGACATGTGTCAGACATGTGTCAGACATGTGTCAGACATGTGTCAGACATGTGTCAGACATGTGTCAGATTTGTTTTCAGATATGTGTTTCGACATAGGGACATAAGGTACTTACGTGTGACTGAAGTTCAAGCTCCCCCACCACAAACCACGACAAAGCCAGACAATTCAGTTAGAGGCAACTAGTCAACCCCTAGCGGTGGCTCATCAGCAAGTGGAGGCAAACTCTAAAGTCAAATCTAAGCTAACTTTCATCCATAAGCCCAGTGGTCAAACTTCTGCCACTTTTCAGCCACAATCCTAGTGGTCAAACCTTTGCCACTTTTCATCCATAAGCCCAGTGGTCAAACTTCTGCCACTTTTCAGCCACAGCCCTAGTGGTCAAACCTACGCCACTTTTCATCCATGAGCGCTGTGGTCAAACCTACGCCACTTTTCATCCATGAGCCCTGTGGTCAAACCTACGCCACTTTTCATCCATGAGCCCTGTGGTCAAACCTACGTCACTTTTCATCCATGAGCCCTGTGGTCAAACCTCCGCCACTTTTCATCCATGAGCCCTGTGGTAAAACCTCCGCCACTTTTCATCCATGAGCCCTGTGGTCAAACCTCCGCCACTTTTCATCCATGAGCCCTGTGGTCAAACCTCCGCCACTTTTCATCCATGAGCCCTGTGGTCAAACCTCCGCCACTTTTCATCCATGAGCCCTGTGGTCAAACCTCCGCCACTTTTCATCCATGAGCCCTGTGGTCAAACCTCCGCCACTTTTCATCCATGAGCCCTGTGTTCAAACCCACGCCACTTTTCAGCCACAACCCAAAGTCCTGATCTATAAGGTGTCAAGATCATCAGTCACAATAATGTGTATACGCCACTAAGAGTAAGAGTTTTACAATATTTTTAGACCTAAAACCACTGACATCATTTTACTCATTTCAGCCGCTGATTCTAAAGAAAAGTCCTCTGCACTCCTTACATTATCATTTATGGAAACACGTGTTTTATTGAATAAATATAGTAAATCTTTAAGCTTGTTTTCCCAATTCACCTGGCTGTGTGTGTGATTAACATATTCACTATCACAATGACTAACACAGTGACTAGCTCAGTGACTATCACCATGAATGTAAAAAATATGTACTATTTAGAATAGTGTTGTTGTTTTTTAAAAAAATGTATGGACACCGAGACATTTAGAAAACATAAATGGACACAAACACATTTATAATAAAACATGTATGTAACCTGGTCACACTTGTAAAACATTTATGATCAACGGACACAAGTAAGTAGGTCAGTGGTAAGTTCTCTCATTTTCCCACAATTAGTCTAACTCAAGCACGTGTTTGGTTGTCCAACAATTAATCTAACTTAAAACCGTGGTCTCGTTGTCACAATTAACCTAACTTAAAACCGTGGTCTCGTTGTCACAATTAATCTAACTTAAAACCGTGGTCTCGTTGTCACAATTAATCTAACTTAAAACCGTGGTCTCGTTGTCACAATTAATCTAACTTAAAACCGTGGTCTCGTTGTCACAATTAATCTAACTTAAAACCGTGGTCTCGTTGTCACAATTAATCTAACTTAAAACCGTGGTCTCGTTGTCACAATTAATCTAACTTAAAACCGTGGTCTCGTTGTCACAATTAATCTAACTTAAAACCGTGGTCTCGTTGTCACAATTAATCTAACTTAAAACCGTGGTCTCGTTGTCACAATTAATCTAACTTAAAACCGTGGTCTCGTTGTCACAATTAATCTAACTTAAAACCGTGGTCTCGTTGTCACAATTAATCTAACTTTAACCTGTGTCTCGTTGTCACAATTAATCTAACTTTAACCTGTGTCTCTTTGTCCTTTAAATAATCTGCTTTAACCTGTGTCTCGTTGTCACAATTAATCTAACTTTAACCTGTATCTCGTTGTCAAAATTAATCTAACTTTAACCTGTGTCTCTTTGTCCCTTAAATAATCTGATTTAACCTTTGTCTCGTTGTCCCACAAATAATCTAACCTAAACCTGTGTCTCGTTGCCCCACTAATAATCTAACCTAAACCTGTGTCTCGTTGTCCCACAAATAATCTAATCTAAACCTATGTCTCGTTGTCCCTTAAATAATCTGATTTAACCTGTGTCTCGTTGTCCCACAAATAATCTAACCTAAACCTGTGTCTCGTTGTCCCACAATCAATCTAACCTAAACATGTGTCTCGTTGTCCCACAATTAATCTAACTTAAACCTGTGTCTCGTTGTCCCACAATCAATCTAACCTAAACCCGTGTCTCGTTGTCCCACAATCAATCTAACCTAAACCTGTGTCTCGTTGTCCCACAATTATTCTAACCAAAACCTGTGTCTCGTTGTCCCACAATCAATCTAACCTAAACCTGTGTCTCTTTGTCCCACAATTAATCTAACCTAAACCTGTGTCTCGTTATCCCACAATCAATCTAACCTAAACCTGTGTCTCGTTGTCCCACAATCAATCTAACTTTAACCCGTGTCTCCGTCTCACTAATTATCATCTCGTGGCTTCTCATTCCCCGACGATCACCACGGTGCCACCAAATCTTTAATGTCACGCCGTCTGACGGAAGGAAGGGTCTTAATGCACAGCCGTAAAAAGAAGCAAAGTGCATGGCTACCAATAACATAGAGAGGAATTTGGTTTGAGATTATTAAAAAAAATCGCTGCCAAATATTTGCGCCGGTTATTGTGCACGACATTTTTATTTAATCCTAAGTAGTGATTCCGTCAAAACCGTGAAGAGGGAAATTTTATTTGGCGTCTAGCGCTCGCCGTCCCATTTATTGTTGAGTCTGTAAAGAGAAATTCCACAGAGGATGACATCAGAAAGTTATTTGTGAGTGGATTTTATGTTTAAACCACGACTCCGAGCTAAAATTCAACACGAATCCGACATTTTTCTGACTCTATCACTGTATGGCCGACTTTGACATCACATGACCGACTCGGACATCCCGTGACCGGGTTTCTAAATCACTTATTGAGAGTAGAATATCATTTTCAGTCATTTACAGCGCTATAAATGACGTGCCTATAAATCATTCCATGGCATTATAAACTGACTTTATACAACTTCCCCCCGCTGCCCCCCCCCCTTGTTATTTTCCTCAGCTATGAGGTGTCTAAAGAAATTCCAGGACTAGTCAGAGTTGACCTTGACTCTCATTCCTTCTGATCAGTAAACAGTGAATTTTAACACTAATTTTTTTAAACTTTGACCCTTAATGAGATTGCTCTTTTCATTTAGACATTAATTAAACTTAAGTATCTCTTTTCCGAAAAGAAAGATGGATTTTGTTAAAAGGCCACATTTCTAACAAATGTCTACTTACTGAGAACAGCTTGTAACTTATCGATTTATCATCAAGGATGTTATTAGTTAAATTCATAATGACAAGTATGTGTAAATTTCTTGTTTTTAAAGGTCTTTTTTTTACTTTTAATTTTATTTTAACATTTTTGCAAAATAAAAAAAAATATAAAAAAAATTAAATCATTATCCAAAATATTATATAGACGTCTATATACAACTTAAAAAAAAGCATTCGTTTAAAAAGCGAAAAACTTACATTATGAACCTTTTTTATTTAAAGAAAAAGAAACGCATCATCATAATCAAGTAAAGAAAAAAAACAAACATTTGCAACACTCATGATAATTTCACAATAAAAATATTAATTTCTTAGCATGTTAACCATGTCAAGTCTAGTGTAAAAGCCTCTTAGAATGAACCATTGTAAAATATAAACCATTTAATGTTCTACGTTTCAAATCAAAAAATGTTTCGTTATCCACTGCTGTAAAATATTTTGGACCAGGGCTTAACTGGGTGCAGATTGTTTACATCGGGTCCTTGTGTTTTGAGAAAATATTCGGTGGGTCCAAGGGTTACAAAAAGAGAGTGAACTTCTCATTTTCCATTATATGTAACGAAATCTATAAAGGTGCAGGAATGATCCACCAATTGATCGTGGGCCCTGACTAGACAGACGAAGAAGGATCAAATTTAATTTTAATTGATAAACGGTTATAGCTTGGATGAATTCTTTGTTAAATAAGACATTTTTTTCAAAGTTAGATTTTGTCTTTAATTGCAGACTATTCCTTTAATAAAGGGACATTTGTAACATTTTAATAAACTAAATTCCGTTTCGTTGTATATCAGAGATTGCACTTTATTACAAATATCATGTAATACAGCGGTTCTCAACTTGGGGGTCGAATGACTCTTTTCCAGGGGTCACCTAAAACCATCGTAATGGTGTAGCATCCAAAATAACTTTGTGGTTGGGGGTTGCCACAACATGAGGAACTGTATTAAAGGGTCGCGGAATTTGCGAAGTTTGAGAACCACTGATGTTATATATTGACATGTAAGAAGAGTTATTAGGCGTAAGTAGGGATTAACAGACCTAGTGGTTTACAGTCCTATGGGTTTAGTTTGCTGACCTATGGGTTACTGACCTAGGTGTTTACTGACTTAGGGGTTTACTGACCTAGGTGTTTACTGACCTAGGTGTTCACTGACCTATGGGTTACTGACGTAGGTGTTTACTGACCTAGGGGTTTACTGGCCTATGGGTTTACTGACCTAGGTGTTTACTGACCTATGCGTTGCTGACCTAGGGGTTTACTGACCTAGGGGTTTACTGGCCTATGGGTTTACTGACCTAGGTGTTTACTGACTTATGGGTTACTGACCTAGGGGTTCACTGACCTATGGGTTACTGACCTAGGTGTTTACTGGCCTAGGGGGTTTACTGACCTATGGTCACCTCAAACCATCGTAATGGGGTAGCATCCAAAATAACTTTGTGGTTGGGGGTTACCACAACATGAGGAACTGTATTAAAGGGTCGCGGAATTTGGAAGTTTGAGAACCACTGATGTTATATATTGACATGTAAGAAGAGTTATTAGGCGTAAGTAGGGATTAACAGATTTATGGTTTACAGTCCTATGGGTTTAGTGACCTATGGGTTTACTGAACTAGAGGTTTACTGACCAAGAGTTCTACTGGTCTATGTGTTTACTGACCTAGGGTTTTACTGGCCTATGTTTTTCCTGACCTATGTGTTTACTGACCTATGTGTTTACGAACCTAGGGGTTTACTGACCTATGTGTTTGCTGACCTATGGGTTACTGACCTAGGTGTTTACTGACCTTGGGGTTTACTGGCCTATGGGTTTACTGACCTAGGTGTTTACTGACCTAGGTGTTCACCGACCTATGGGTTACTGACCGAGGTGTTTACTGACCTATGGGTTACTGGCCTATGTGGTTACTGACCTAGGGTTTTACTGGCCTATGTGTTTCCTGACCTATGGGTTACTTTAGGTGTTTACTGACCTTGGGGTTTACTGGTCTATGGGTTTACTGAGCTAGGTGTTTACTGACCTAGGTGTTCACCGACCTATGGGTTACTGACCGAGGTGTTTACTGACCTATGGGTTACTGGCCTATGTGTTTACTGACCTAGGGTTTTACTGGCCTATGTTTTTCCTGACCTATGGGTTACTGACCTAGGTGTTTACTGACCTAGGGGTTTACTGGCCTATGTGTTTACTGACCTAGGGGTTTACTGACCTATGTGTTTGCTGACCTATGGGTTACTGACCTACGTGTTTACTGACCTTTGGTTTTACTGGCCTATGGGTTTACTGACCTAGGTGTTTACTGACATTGGGGTTTACTGGCCTATGGGTTTACTGACCTAGGTGTTTACTGACCTAGGTGTTCACTGACCTATGGGTTATTGACCTAGGTGTTTACTGACCTAGGGGTTTACTTTCCTATGGGTTTACTGACCTAGGTGTTCACTGACCTATGCGTTACTGACCTAGGGGTTTACTGACCTAGGGGTTTACTGGCCTATGGGTTTACTGACCTAGGTGTTTACTCACTTATGGGTTACTGACCTAGGGGTTCACTGACCTATGGGTTACTGACCTAGGTGTTTACTGGCCTAGGGGTTTACTGACCTATGGTTTCTGTTATCTATTTTTTATCGCCACATTTATATATATATATGTGTGTGTGTGTGATGAGAAACGGAGAATCAACAGTTTGAGATTCAGCCCCAAACACCATCTAGTCAAAATATAATTTGGTTCATTTATAAGGATAGCAATATTTCAAAGCCCTTATTTGTTACACACGGAACAATTCTAGTCCATAGTAGATTTCTTTTTTTGAAATTGAATTATTTACATGTTATACATTTAATTTATCATAATGAACTTCTGAATGACCAGACAAAAGAATTTGATGACTAAATGTTATTACTGAGATCCCATAATCACAAGGTAGTGTTACAGTTTTTAAACCTGGGCTCTAAATATAAGTCTCGAAAGAAAAATAGTCACCTACGAGATGAGATGTTTCACTCTGGCAGAACAAGAATAGCCCACAGTTGGAACCAGGAATTTGCAGAAATGGTTAGTGCCATGTCAATCGGGCAATATATCGTTCAACAACAAATTAACTTGTTGCCCAGAATGCCTGTCAACAAACCTGCATGGCATGCGTAGAATGGCAGGTTCTGCTTTTTCTTTAATATGAACAAAAAACGAGGGAATTATCCCCGAATCTAACGCTTACAATTATTAATCTGGCCATTTATGTAGCTAAGGACATTTGAAATAGTTACTTAAGCGATATGATTATGACAACGTATTCGCATATAACACTTTTTATTTTTTTTTTCGAACACAACCCAGAGAAAACCGGATGTATTAGCAATTCATGGTTGTAGCTTAACCAATAGTGCTTTATTGAAGCAAATTAATTTTCTACGCATTGGCCTAATTAAATGCTTTATTACAGACAAGCTCTCATTTGAAACAATTCAATACAAATCTCACGAGTCGGGAAATTTCAACTTTTTGATAACAGGAAGGTTCCTAGTTTTTCTTTAAAATTAAATTATGATCAGATTTTAGGATGAGTAATCTATATGTATTTTTTCCCCCACTGTGTCATAACTTTTGAAATAATTTCAGTCTATTAAGTTTGGTTTAGAGCGCAATTTCAATTATTCGTCTCGGTAATGTAAAGCTGATTGCTTAGTTGCAAATACCGAAATAGAATTTGATCTCATATTTCTTGTTTTAAAATGTTTTTACTTCACAGAAATTGATTTTGATAGTGAGGAAAAATAAAAATGAAACGAGATTACAACGATCCATCTTTTCTTTTCACGGATGACATATCTTTGATACCGCGCCATAGTAGTTGGGGCATACATTAAATTATCTGCAAAATGAAGCAAAAATTCAACAATGTCCAATGATGCACACCTTAACACATCCCACCATCAGGAATGTATCACTTGAGTTTTAGTTTATTTTGTTGTGTAAAGTACGTAATGGAGACACTTCCGGTTATACATTTTTAACGGTAACACGCAAAACAACGGTTTTGGAATGTTTGTGAACACACTGTAAAATTTATAATTAAAACAAAAATGTAGTTTCAAGCAGAAATGTTCCACCAACAAATCCAGGAGTGCACGATTGAAATCATTGTTATGCTGACGTGTCTTTTCTGTTCTGAGAAGATAGAACGTTATCGTCACCGGTCTCATATGGTCCCTGTTCTGGATGTCAAAATGACATTTGACATCAGCGCTCTCCTAAAGTCCTTGTTCTTTACTTTTAAAATGACACTTCGTCATCAGCGTTCTCCAAAAGTCTTGTTTCTGTTAAATTGACACTTTTTCCTCATCGCTCTACTAAAGTCGTCCTTGTTCTGTACCTTTAAAATGACACTTTGTCATCAGCGCTCTCCTAAAGTCCTTGTTCTGCACTGCGAATATGACAAAATTCATCCCGGAGTTGGACAGGCCAAGAATGACCAGGCAGTTATACAGCACCGGGGGAGTGCTCACGAAATAATCCATGGCCATGCAGATCACGATCGGCGTCATGCACACGAAGAAAACGCCGAACGACGTCATGAAGAACTTGAGGCTCCTGGCTGTGCTCCTGGAGATGTGTTGCGCCCCTTTTAAAGAGCCGGTCGCCAATTGGATGGCTTTTCGCTGTTTGAACGCCGCGTAGAGTATCAGCGTGTACATGGTCAAAATGCCAAACGCTGAAGTGAAATAGACCACCCAGGCGCTGTAGAAGAGATACCAGATTGGAAACTGGATGGTCGGACTGCATACGTCGCTCTGCGTGTTGTGGACAATTTGAGGGAGGAGGCTGAACGAAATGCCGAATATCCATATGAAAGTTATGCAGGCTCCGATCAGTTTCGGCTTGATGAGTCTTTGATAGACGTAAGGTTTCGTTATGTAGATGAACCTGTCGACAGATATAAAGAACATGTGAATGATGGACGTTCCGGGCAGTCCCAAGTTGAGCCCGTTGAGCAGAAGGCACAGGTGGATGTTGCGGAAAAATACGCTGTTTTTGGTCGGCGGTAGGAAGAAAAATGACGTGGGCAGGAGCTCGAGCCCGACGATGAAATCTGTGACGGACAGGCTGACGATGTACGTGTTGGTGTACGTCCGCAGCTCCGACGTTTGACAAACGACGAGTATCGTCAGGATGTTGACGCAGCAAATGAAGAAGGACAGCGATACACAGAGAACGAACACCGCGATGTCTACCCACGTGATGGCTGTCAAGTCTGGAAGCATTGTTGATGTCATGTTTGTGATATTCATGATTTCGTTTTAATTTATTTTTTTTTACAAAAATCTATCTATCTATCATCGAAACTGAAAATAACGGGAATAAAACGAACTTTCGGAAAAAAATCAATAGAGTGATACGCACGCAAGATGTCACTCAATTTTAATGTAGCAACTGCCATCCATAGTTTTGAACTAGCATGGCGTCTTGACTGTGCTACGTGTTCTAAAACACAACCAAGCGTACGTTTTACATGCGGGCATGGATTAAATTTGCAACCAAAAAAAAAAATAATTTTAAAACGGTATTAAATTGTCTTCTAAGAAAAGATGTGAAGAATCAAATAGTTTTAAAAAAAATAAATTTTGTCATTGATTAAGTATTAAATCCCATTTGAAACTTTGTAGATATCTTTTGAGTAACTTCGGCATGTATGAAAGGCTCTTGGAATTTTTAGTTCAATCTATTTAAAAAGAAATAAAATAAACTAGCTGCCATTGTTCACCTAACAGCCCCTACACTGGTTAAATCAAAAAGACTATATATGACTATGATTTAAAAAAAAATAATGCGGCATTCAGCACAGACCAGGAGCAACACAATTCACAAATCTCCAAGCTTTTCAGGATATTACACCTTCTCGTTGTTTTTTTTAAGTTATGAGATTTCCATAATAACTCGGTAGTATTTTAAAGTCTTCTTCTATTTTTTTTTTAGGAGTTGAACAGATCAGAAAATCCCGACAGCGCGATGGAGAGCATTAAAGCCAGTGGGTGCCTAGCTGATGCTAATATATTCAATGCATGCACTTAATGACCTGCTCCAGAGGGAGAAGGATCAAAACTCGAGGGAAAGAAGTTGCTAAAAAAAAATGTTGATCCATTAAAAAGAAAGCTGATCAAATTTCCTCTGGAGGTTTGCTCATTTTCTCCACTGATGTCGCGGCCTGTTTGGATTCGCCCTGCAGATCAATGCCTACAATGATCCAGTTATGAACAGGGTCAGGGGCGTGGGTGTCGTGTCCGGGGTACCCGGGGGAACTTTAAATTAAATTTTCCTGACATAATAGTTATATTTATAAAACAGAAGAAAAGGAGTTTTATGAGATGAACTAAACTACTCAGACATTATATTTATGGTAAAGACAAATGAAATAATATGATACAAATCTTTTTTTTTCCCCAGTTAAATTTATCGCGTTAATAATTAATAACAGCAACAAGAAAAATTTCAACAATAACAACAATAATTACAATTATTATTATAGCAATAATATCAAAATTGATAACAAATAAAACAAAAATAAAATTAAAAAAAAACTCTTTAAATAATAATAAGAAAAAGAGTAAGTAATAAATGATATTAACAAAACTATGTGTGTGCTAAAATTAACTTAATTATAAACGCAGTATCACAACGTCCCAAATGATGACTAATTAAGTCATTAGTGTCACTCAGTGGGGGTCATTGGTGGCTGATTTCTACGCTAGAGAAATGTTTTAGATTTCTTGTGTTAAAGTTGTTGAAATGGTAAAATGTTCTCTTAAACATGAAAAATTTAATAAAAACATTTCCTTTCATTTGGATCAATAAAGAATCTTATTTCCTTTTATCTTATCTTAAATAATGTTATTAATGGCAAAGAAAGCAACCGAAGCTTGTGCCAATTGTATTATTAGTATTTGCATTATTATGGAAATGATACCAGTAGTATCAAAAGAGCCGAATAAAAGGTGGGACTACACGCATTATTACAATAGTTATTGTGTTTATCTCCTATCTTAGAAAAAAGATTTAGAACAATAATTTTTAATGTGACATCTACTTCTACGAGCATTATTATTATTTTTTTAAACCTAGTCCAGCTACTGGACTAGTCGATGATGTGCAACACATCTAAGAAAGAGGTCAAGGCGAAAAGACCTGTCTAAACAAAGAAAAAAACCCACAAAAAAACAACAACAAAAACACCTAAAAATAACACTCACACAATTCACACTATGAGACTGAAGATCTTCAAACTTATCTATTAGTCGGTATTTATTTATTTATTTAGGCATTTTTATATAGCGCTGACCTTAAAGCTCTAAGCGCTTTACAATTATTAAAATCATGTAAACTATGTAAAATAAAAATGAAAAACCAAAGACAATAGGAGGATAGTAACTACTATACCACTGAAACAATTAAAATGGCTATAAAAACGAGTGCACTTTGGCACGTTTTGGCCTATACTACAGGATCAACCCGAGACAGAAAATGAGGCAGGGCAAGGAGGGTGCATCACAGGTCGTAGGCGGACCTAAACAGATGAGTTTTAAGGGACTTTTTGAAAATGGACGAGGTTTCACAATGACGGATGTGGTAGGGGAGCTGGTTCCAGATCGTGGCCCCATGGAAGCAGAAGGAGCGTTCACCGATGGTCTTAGTTTTAGTTCTTGGGATTGAGAGGATTCTTTTGTCAACTGAAGAGCGTAGTTGTCTTGTGGGGATGTAAGGAAGCAACAGTTCAGAGAGATAGACAGGAAAGTGAGGGTCAGTGAACGAGTTTAAGCATAGATTGGCAGACTTGTAGTGGATGGAGTTGCCGCATTTTGTGGTTAAATATGGTCATGTTTCTTTGAATGCGGCTCTTAAGTGACCTGAGTGCGGCTCGGCCAGTATCATGCCTGCTGAACGCCAGGCTGTGAGGGTCGCCAGTTACGTCGATGACAAGACGCTGTTTAGTTCGCGGCCCTAGAGATGTTTGACATAACCCATTAAACATAAACTATTTAGCGGTGTAATCTGTACGATACAATATCATGATAACTCACACTAGGGTCAAATAAATAAATGAAGGATGTTTTCATTATGAAATTACAACAAAACCAGAGATTGGTTAAAAAGATGAACTAGTCCAGTGTTCGGAAAATCGCGGCTCGCGAGCCGAGTGCGACTCTTTAGTGACCTGAGTGCGGCTCGGCCAGTCAGCCACAAATGGAGTTTGACTTCGAAAAACATGGTTCCTGAAATGTTCTTGAAAAGAAATATGGCTCTCAAAAAATTTTTTTTTAATCGTCCTGATTTTTAATTTCGGCTATTTTGACTAATGAGTTAGGCGACAACTGTACTTGTCTTTTTGATATGACTCAAAATTGCATTAGTTTTAATGATTCTTTTGTAATGCTTTCTTATTCTGTATGCATTGCTGATGTGTCCTCTATTCAATTGACAGCGTTAACATACCATCGAGAGAGTGAGATAGGGAGGTACGGGGAGATACCGGGTGACAGGGGGAGGTACGGGGAGATACGGCGCGACAGGGGGAGGTACGGGGAGATACGGGGTGACAGGGGGAGGTAAGGGGAGATACGGGACGACAGGGGGAGGTACGGGGAGATACGGGGCGACAGGGGGGGGGTACGGGGAGAAGGGCAGATGAGAGGAAAGAAAAAGAGGAGAATGCTACAAGAGATACAGGGGGAGGTACGGGGAGATACGGGGTGACAGGGGGAGGTAAGGGGAGATACGGGACGACAGGGGGAGGTACGGGGAGATACGGGGCGACAGGGGGGGGGCACGGGGAGAAGGGCAGATGATATGAAAGAAAAAGTGGAGAATGCTACAAAAGACAAGGGGAGCTAATACAAAAGAAAAGGAGAGAGGGATCGAAAGTCTAGAACATCGGGTACATACTAAGAATGATAGAAGGTACAAAAAGGCTTGAAGGGAGAGGAGGCAGGAACGATATTCAAAATACAGTTAGGGGAAATCATTGGGGGGGAGGGGGCGGGAGGAAACAAAAGACCACAAAAAAAAACGTATCGAAGAGAAGCCTTCGTCAAAGCAAAAAAAATCAGTTCAAGTAGAGAATGAAAAAACGTAGAGGAGAAAATCAGAAAAACCTCAGTCCATGTAAAACTACAACCGATGAGAGAGCACACAACAAGCAAGAAAAAATTGTACTTTCAGACAAAGGGAGAGGAAGCCTACATTAAAATCAGTCCCATGAGACCTATGCTTGATAAAAAGGAGCCTTCCCTTGGGTAGCCGAGTATCAGTTCAAAAATTGGTGACGGGGTTAAACTTTAAACTTAACTCATTAAATTAAAAATGTGTAGATAGGATTAGGAAATGTGTTGGAGACCCCTAGGCTTATTTGTTTATTTTTTTAAATTTCGGAATTAGTTTAATTGGGGCTAAGGGGTTTTCTCTACTATATTTTAAAAATAAATAAATTTGTAAACGCAGTAAAATAAGGCTGGGTACTAACGCTTTATGGTGAGACAACCCATGCGTTATATTCCGTTATATATTACACCTTTACTTCCCTTGAGTTTCTGTGATTGCAATTTGAACTAATTGCACCTTGTGTGTTGCGTTAAAAAAAAAAAAAATTAACTCATCACTAATTTTTAACAGCTATCAAAAATACATACACAGTGGAATTTGTAAACAACATCCGGGGAGTTTCTGAAACATATAAACATCAATTTGAACTAATTGCACCTTGTGTGTTGCGTTAAAAAAAAAAAAAAAATTAACTCATCACTAATTTTTAACAGCTATCAAAAATACATACACAGTGGAATTTGTAAACAACATCCGGGGAGTTTCTGAAACATAAAAACAGGGAAAGGGAGCTGAAGGAAACGTACCACTTAAACCAGATGTGCTGCAAAATGTCACATTTCTGGTTCTGAATCAGTCAAGTGTTTCAGCTATTTTAATACAATGTTTGGCTGCATGGTTCCAGAATGTTTTGATAGCTATGCCGCTCCTGCTAACTAATAGCCGACCATGAACGTAGTCAACTGAAATTTGCTCACACTTCATCACTTTTTACCATGTATCGATCTCAAGCTTCATCACTTTTTACCATGTAATCGATCTCAAACTTTATCACTTTTTACCAATGTATCGATCTCAAACTTCATCTCTTTTTACCATGTATCGATCTCAAACTTCATCACTTTTTACCATGTATCAATCTCAAACTTCATCACTTTTTATCATGTATTGATCTCAAACTTCATCATTTTTTATCATGTTTCGATCTCAAACTTCATGGCGTTTTACCGTGTATCGATATCAAACTTTATGACTGTTTACCATGTATCAATCTCAAACTTTATAACATTTTACTATGTATCGATACAATGTATCGGAATTTTTTTTGGATCAATCCATTTTATTCATTCAAACTATCACTGCCTGTTATTTAATCTAATTGAACTAGTGCATTTTGCCCTTGCTGGATGCCCGAAACACTAAAATTAACAAAGCAAACTTTAAACAAGAACAGGTTGAAAAAAAAAAACCACAACAAATTTGATAATTTTCTCTTACTGTTAAATATATTTAAGTCATCTTAACAATCACTTCGTGGGCGCAATCCGGAGTCCTTATATCACCCATATTTAGCCTGCCAGGTCCGCCCCTGCATTTTTTAACTAACATTTCAGGCCCAAGAAGTGCCTGGCTGTGTTTAGTCAACTGCTAAGAGACCACATTTTCTTTTGTTTAAACAAGGCGTTTTGTTGGTTTGGTTGTTTTGGGTGTGTGGTGGGTGTGTTATCAAGATTTCGCTCAATCCGATGGGGTGTGTGAGAAAACATGTAATGTAAATGACGTGCTTTGATGCTGGGGTTAAATGACGTCTAACGGTGTGTGTGTGTGTGTGGCTGGATCATGGGTTGGTCTGGATGAGGATTCGCAAACCGGTTAGGTAGTGAGTTAATGGGTCCTTTGAACGAGTGCATCAAGTTGTTATATTTCAAGCGTTCTGTGAGACATTCACTGAGTAATTCCCCGTATCGGAAAACAGTCTGGAAATAAATGAGTCCCTTAAGCTAGAAATGAATGAGTCCTTTAATCTGGAAATAAATGAGTCCTTTAAGATAGAAATAAATGAGTCATTTAAGCTAGAGATAAATGAGTCCCTTAAGCTGGAAATTCATGAGTCCTTTAAACTGGAAATAAATGAGTCATTTAAGCTTGAAAAAAATGAGTCCTTTAAGCTAGAAATAAATGAGTCCTTTCAGCTGGAAATAAATGAGCTCTTTAAGATGGAAATAAATAATTCCTTTTAGCTAGAAACAAATGAGTCCCTTAAGCTGGAAATAAATGAGTCCTTTAAGATAGAAATAAATGAGTCCTTTAAGAAGGAAATAAATGAGTCTTTTAAGATGGAAATAAATGATTCTTTTAAGAAAGAAATAAATGAGTCCTTTAAGATAGAAATACATGAGTCCTTTAAGCTGGAAATAAATGAGCTCTTTAAGATAGAAATAAATGCAAACCTTAAGCTGGAAATAAATGAGTCCTTTAAGCTGGAAATAAATGAGTCATTTAAGATAGAAATAAATGAGACTTTAACAAATAAATAAATGAGTCCTTTAAGATAGAAATAAATGAGTCCTTTAAGATGGAAATAAATGATTCCTTTAAGAAATAAATAAATGAGTCCTTTAAGATATAAATAAATGAGTCCTTTAAGCTGGAAATAAATGACCTCTTTAAGATAGAAATAAATGAGTCCTTTAAAATAGAAATAAATGAGACGTTTAAGAAATAAATAAATGAGTCCTTTAAGATAGAAATAAATGAGTCCTTTAAGCAGGAAATAAATGAGCTCTTTAAGATAGAAATACATGAGTCCTTTAAGAAGGAAATAAATGAGTCTTTTAAGATGGAAATAAATGATTCCTTTAAGAAAGAAATAAATGAGTCCTTTAAGATAGAAATACATGATTCCTTTAAGCTGGAAATAAATGAGCTCTTTAAGATAGAAATAAATGCAAACCTTAAGCTGGAAATAAATGAGTCCTTTAAGATGGAAATAAATGAGTCATTTAAGATAGAAATAAATGAGAATTTTAAGAAATAAATAAATGAGTCCTTTAAGATGGAAATAAATGAGTCCTTTAAGATGGAAATAAATGAGTCCTTTAAGATAGAAATAAATGAGTCCTTTAAGATAGAAATAAATGAGTCCTTTAATAAATAAATAAATGAGTCCTTAGAGATGGAACTAAAGGAATCCTTTAAGATGGAAATACATGAATCCTTTAAGATTTAAATAAATGAGTCCTTTAAGATGGAAATAAATGAGTCCTTTAAGATGGAAATAAATGAGTCCTTTAAGATAGAATTAAATGAGTCTCCATTGACTAGCATCAACAATGAGAACAAATCTGATGTCTCCATTGACTAGTATCAACAGTGAGATCAAATCTGATGTCCCCATTGACTAGCATCAACAACGAGAACAAATCTAATGTCTCTATTGACCATATTCCTCTTCCTTTCCTCTCAGATACAACATTGCCGCTAATTGTTGATGCTTCAATTTCATATTTCTTTTTGTAACAATAACTGAAGCAGGCTTTTTGCCGAAACGCTCACTGTTTTATTCTATCCACCCCCCCCCCCCTCAAACCAACCTTTTTTCACATATTTCCTTCTTCTTGATCTGATTGCATTATTTCGCCCTTCCACCCACGAGCAACCCCTGATTGCATTATTTTCTTTTTGTAACAATAACTGAAGCAGGCTTTTTGCCGAAACGCTCCCTGTTTTATTCTATCCCCCCCCCCCCCCCTCAAACCAACCTTTTTTCACATATTTCCTTCTTCTTGATCTGATTGCATTATTTCGCCCATCCACCCACGAGCAACCCCTGATTGCATTATCTCGCCCATCCACCCACGAGCAACCCCTTATTATCATCTAATGTCACTGGACATTTCAGCATAACCGATGGCTAATCAATACTAATTACCATTCAACTTAATCGATTCTCATTTGATTATGACAACAGTATGATGCTGGAGAAAACACTAACGAGCGGGGGAGCTTCTACTTAACCAGGTTGTTGTTGACGGTGCTCGGACGTAATAAGATCAATTAAGATATTGATGATTTTGCCATCCTCTATTCTTAAAGAACTTTTATTGCGTACTTCTAAATCATCTCTGACATGTGCACCGTTAAGGACTTTACGCCCGCAGCACATATCTTAGCACTAAATGATTGCAGAATCTGTATTAACACTATACGACTGCAGCACATATCTTAGCACTAAATGATTGCAGCATCTGTATTAGCACTATACGACTGCAGCACATATCTTAGCACTAAATGATTGCAGCATCTGTATTAGCACTATACGAGTGCAGCAACTATCTTAGCAGTATATGCCTGCAGCATGTACCAAATCACTATACGCTTGCAGAATCTGTATTATCCGTATACGATTGCAATATGTATCTTAGCAATATACGCGGGCAGCATATTGTATCTCAGCACTCTACGCCGGCAGCATCTATTTTAGCACTATACGCCCGCAGCTTCCATCTTAGCACTATACGCCGGCAGCATTTGTGTGCGCCTAACATCAACACAGACCATCCGAGTCACAGCTTTCAACCAAATGCAATGGCACGCAACCTTTTTAAGACCAAATCATTGCATGCGTCACAAGATGGAGAAAACCTCCAATGATACGGTCGAGCTCACACGGAACAAACTTCGGTTAAAAAGATCGAACCATGAATGTAAAAATAAATACATCAAATTATCAAGAATATCTCAGGATTCAGAGCTGAAAATGAAAATCTAAAATATTTTCAGAAGTCATTAGTTTGACAAAGAAGGATCTTGCTCCCCTTAAAACACATTGGTTTCTGTCGAAGTGTGTACACATAGCATAATACTACAAAGATATGATGCTTCTTCTCTTATTCAACCAAAGTAAATAAAGATGTCTTTGAAATAATTCTGAGCATCTTGATCTTAAGTACAGATTTACGATGCAAAGCCGTCTAAATCGCTGTAGGGTTCCTTGATAAATCTTGTCTGCTATTTCTTTAGTTGCCTCCCTTATCCCTTTATTTACTTTTTCTTGGCATTTTAAATAAAGTTAACCCGGACGACAGTTGAAAACTCCATTTAATATTACAAACACTTTAAATCTGTAAATTTTTTTGAGGAAGAGCAAATTTTTCGTCTGACAGATTTTGAAACCTCTGGAAATTATTTTAATCTTGCCCCCCCCCACCCCCACCCCACCAAAACCCCTTACACCTGTCTCACTAAAGGGCGATTAACTCAATGTCTAGATACTTAATAATACGGCTATTTTGATAAAGTTTGGAACCAACATAATATAAAGAAAAAAAACATAATAATATACAAAAATATATTTAAACAAAAATAAAATGAAATCACTTTCAATAAATAAACAGAAAACCAAATAAAGCTGTCGCTAACCGATATTTAATATTTAAAACCAAAATACCTGACCAAATAATACTTTCCTGGAAAGCATTAACATTTTCCATGGTTCTTAGCAAACTGTTAGAGAACTGATGAAATATCTTTACGTTTGGCTTGCTGTAACATTAAACGTGTGCTCACAGATACACATAAAGTAAACTATGGACTTTTTATGTGCTCTCTATGTTACTTAAAATAACAAAAAGTAAATACACTAATAATTTCAGCCATTTATTGCACATAATAAATTACAGTCTGTTTTCAATTAAGTCAAACTTACGTATCCTAAGTCAAAAAGTGGTAATAATTGGACATCATAAAATCATCGGCCAATAGGCACAACCAATGGAAGCCTCAAACATTCTAAAAGTGAAATCATTTACTATATTCATAATTTTTTAAATATTTCTTTTACATCACAAAATGTTTTAATATAACATTGAAAGAAAAATGGTTGTTGAACTTTCCTGGAATTGAAATATGCCACAGGTTTTTAAGTTTTAATGGTTGCCTGGTCACACATCACGCTGCCTTCCAGCCTAATACGTCATTGTGTTTTCAATATTTTCACCTGTCTCATGCCACAGACGTCATTGGGTGGTCGCTATTTTCACCTGTCTCATACCCAATATATAATTGTAAGAAACTATTTACAGCCCTCCTACGCGCCAGACGTCATTGTGAAGTCTCCATGTTCCCCCGCCACCTTACAGCAACAACAAGGCAACATCTTACACAAGGAATGACGGAACGCCATATTTTGGAGAGCAAAGATGACAAAGTTCATCCCAGAGTTTGAAAAGGCAAGCAGCACCAGGAACCTGTACAGGACGCTCGGTACACTGACGTAGTAGTCCAGCCCCATGACCACCACGACGGGCGTCATGCACGCGAAGAAAACCCCAAAGAGCGTCAGAAAAAACTTGAGACCTTTCACCGAAGCTCTTGAAAGCATGTGGAAGTGCGTCTCACGTGGGCTCTTGTCAACCGGCCCAACGGAATTGATGGCAGCGCGCTTTTTGAAAGCCGTGCGTAGAATGAGGCAGTACATGAGGAGGATGATGGCGGACAGTGTGAAGTAAAGGACCCAAACGCCGTACATGACGTGCCAAACGGGTATCAGTCTAGTGAGGTCGCAGATGGTGATGTTACCATTCGAAGTGTGGACGAACTGAGGCATCGCCATGAACATCAAGCCGAGAAGCCACGCGAAGCAAACGCACGAGATGACGACACGCGTGTTCATGATTTTCTCGTAGAAGTACGGTTTAGCTATGTACAGGTATCGGTCCACGGCGATGACAGCCATGTGGATGATGGACACGCTCGACACGCCCATGTTGAGGCCGTTCATGAGGAGGCACAGGCTTATGTAGCGGTCGAAGAGGTTAACCCTGGTCGGTGGCAGGACGAACAGGGCCAGTGGGATCAACTGCAGGCCGACGAGAAAGTCCACTACGGCCAGACTGCCCACGTAAGCCATGGCGTACGACCTGAGGGATGGGGTTCGACTAATGACCAGCATGGTAAGTATGTTGACCACACAGATGAGAAACGACATTAGGAGACACAGGACGAATATGACAACGTCAGGCCAGGTAATGACCGGAGACTCCCCGGAGACCGTGATATTGAAAAGATGCATCATGCGGTTGCCTGTGAATCAGCTCGCAGCTAGATTTGACCCATCATTCAGTCACGTGTGAATCAGCTCACAGCTAAATTTGACCCATCATTCAGTAACGTGAGAACAAGGTCACAGCTAGATCAGACACATTCTTCAGTTGCCCGAAAATTAACTCTCTGCTTCGTCACACAATTCTCAATATTCCGAAAATAAATTATTTTGTGTATTTTAAAAAAAAAATATTGGTGAGATTGAAAATAGTTCATGTAATTTCAGTATCTCTGCTATTCGGTCACTGCCAAAAATTTTTAACTCACATATTTTAAAAGCTATTATAAATGAAGAAGAGGATTTTATAAAAAGTTTGTATAGATGATTGAAAATCAAAGATGGCCATTGACACCTCAACTATTTAAATGAATTGAATTTTTTTAATGAGTTGTTTTGAAAAAAAAAATAGTTATCATATTAGATTTTATTTTAAAAGCGTTCTATCACCATAGATAATTACGTCATACAAAAATAATGAAACAAAAATTGACATCAAATACTTATTATAGCTTGTAATGTACATCTATCTTATTTCAATACCGTTATTGTCGTAAAACGTATATTAATAAGCATGATTATATATTTTATCGCATGGTTATTTGTATGACGTAATGGTCAACTCTTGGATGAACTGAAGTATTTTGAATCCTTTCAAAGAACAATATTACTAGCGAGCAACGCCGCTTCACACTTTGAAATAAAATCCCGGATACAACAGAGATGACACTCTAAAACCCAAGCAGTGTTATCACCAAGCAAATATTTATCGACAGACTGCCTAGTTCCAGGTGCTCAAGGTGACCCAATGAAATCCACGACTTCGTTAGCCTTGGCCATATTCTGATTGGAGAGACATCGAGTTTGGTTCAATGAATCGTAAGAGCACATGTCCATCAGTTAGGAGGAGAGAAGTAGTAAGCGGAAACGGTACGAGAAATACATTTTGTGGATCGTGCTAGATCATTTCGTCACCAGGTGTTTATTTTTAATAACTGTGGCTGACAGATAAATGGTTAAAAATATGTGGAATGTTAAAAAATAAAATGTTAACAATAACAGTGACACAGTTAATTTCACGATCATCCCCCCCCCTACCAAAAAAACAAAAAAAAAGCTATGCGGTCATCGAGGGTCAGTGCACCCTTTTGTCTTGGTCGCGTGACGGATGACGTAGTAGCTTACACTTCTTAGAAAAATAAAGGACACCATAATAAATTTCTCTATAAGATAAGGTGCTTTTATTGATAGAAACAAACATAAAAGGTTTTGATTTGCCTTGCACATGTTCATTGTATATGTAAAGACAGTTGAGATTTTGATTACGAAAATGTTAAGCTTTAACAATTTCAATTTAAGAAATTTTGTAGAATTTATCAAGCGCAAAAAACATTCATTATGTGCAGTAAATCCCCTATACTATAATGACATTAATGAATTTAATACTAGCCGGGGAAAAAAAGCCGTTACATTCTGAGAGACTGGGGAACAAATACATTTCTGTACATTTTGGTTCGTTAAGTTTAGGGCAAAAATATGCCCTAGCAGTGCTTATCTGGATGTGGTGGGTGTATGCTTGAAGTGCTTATCTGGATGTGGGGATGTATGCTTGAAGTGCTTATCTGGATGTGATGGTTGGGGTGTATGCTTGGAGTACTTATATTGATGTGGGGGTGTAAGCTTGAAGTGCTTATCTGGATGTGGGGATGTATGCTTGAAGTGCTTATCTGGATGTGGTGGGTGGTATGCATGCTTGAAGTGCTTATCTGGATGCTGTAGGTGGGGTGTACGCTTAAAGTGCTTATCTGGATGTGGTGGGTGGGGTGTATGCTTGAAGTGCTTATCTGGGTGTGGTGGTTGGCGTGTATCTTAAAGTGCTTATATGGATATACGTCTGATATTGATACGGTGGGTTGAGTGTAGGCTGGTAGTACTGATCTTGTTGTGGTGGGTGGGATGTATCCTGGTAGTGTTGATCTTGTTGTGGTGGGTGGGATGTATGCTGGTAGTGTTGATCTTGTTGTGGTGGGTGGGATGTATCCTGGTAGTGTTGATCTTGTTGTGGTGGGTGGGATGCATCCTGGTAGTGTTGATCTTGTTGTGGTGGGTGGGATGCATCCTGGTAGTGTTGATCTTGTTGTGGTGGGTGGGATGTATCCTGGTAATGTTGATCTTGTTGAGGTGGGTGGGATGTATCCTGGTAATGTTGATCTTGTTGTGGTGGGTGGGATGTATCCTGGTAATGTTGATCTTGTTGTGGTGGGTGGGATGTATCCTGGTAATGTTGATCTTGTTGTGGTGGGTGGGATGTATCCTGGTAGTGTTGATCTTGTTGTGGTGGGTGGGATGCATCCTGGTAATGTTGATCTTGTTGTGGTGGGTGGGATGTATCCTGGTAATGTTGATCTTGATGCGGTGCGTGGGATGCATCCTAAAAATTTTTACATTATGTTTTGAAATAATAAAAGCACGTATTTTAAAAAGAAAATAATAATTGATAACAATTTTTTTTTAAAAACTTAAACACCAAAACTTGATGAAAAGGAACCATTAACGACACATGAGTAGTCTCCCTTAGCATCTGCTTGAGGTTATTGACACCACACCACCATGTTCCAGATGTTGCATCACAGACGTATTTTTCAAATATTTTCTCCTGTGCTTTCTTATGTCTTTAGTCTGCAAAAAATGGACATTTCTTAACATCTTCAAATTTCGCCGGAAACAACTCTAACAATAGCAAGGAACACCATTAAAAAGACGGCGACTTTAGCTCATCAACAGCAACCCTTGGTTTTTTCAATTATTGAAGTTTCAGTATAAATAACCTTTTTTTTGTGTTCAGCCCAAGCCGTTATACGCAAGTGAATAGAGACAAACTACAAGTGCTGCTGCTGCTATTCATGATCTTCTAAGGTAGCCGAAAATTAAATTTAGTGAAAGAAAACGCATTATAAAATATCCATTCTTATCTAAATGATGGATTTTACTGAATGCGTTTTCTGAGTTATGGACCGTGGAAGTTGAACTGTTACTGTCTCACGATGAGGAAAACAAAAGTAGTCGTGGGGTAAAAAAAAAAGGGGGGGGGGAAGGGGGGCACTCAAATAATCTTCAAACCTGGAGTTATCGAAATCATTGACCAAACATTGTGCAATATTTCAGCTCGGTAAGGATAGCATCACCACCCCAATCTTGTTTTTTTTATTGACCCCCATCATGACCCTATAATGACACTCTCATGACTCCATGTTAAACCCATCAAAAGAATAACAGAACTATGTGTCACCAGGTTGATTGGACAGAAAATGTTGGAGTTGGCAATGGAATAATATTGTACACATTTATTCCCTTAATTAGTCATAGTTCTCTATCGCTTTGTAATTTTTTTGGGCAACCGTATACATTTGTTAATTATTTCTTTAATGCTTCATTTCTTTTGTTCTGTTTGCCGTCGAAGGCATCTTTGCCGACACATTCTTTGCTTTGTTTTGTCTTCTCAAGTTTTGCTTTACCCTAAATTTGTATAATTCCTGTTGCTTCAAGCTGATCACGGCCACACCTTTATTACAGTAAGTTAAGTCTATAGTATTTTATCTAAGCAGGTATAAGGATAACTACAATCTATGATATTTTTACCAAAGCTTGTATAGTAAGCAATGCAATCTATGATGTGGTATCGAAAACTAGTATGGTGATAAATACAATTAAAAACATGGTCTCCAATACTTGTATAGGGATAAACTCAATCTATGAAATGGTATCCAACATAAGTATTGAGATCAATACATAACCTTTAATAAAGAAAAAAATTAGCATTTAACCACACGTTTATGTCGAATGAATAGAATCTAGCACAAAATTGTCTTGACCATTTTCCAGCCAGCACGTGCAGTGCAACAGTTTGAACAGCGCTCGCCTGAACTGCGTGTTCTGCACGGTCAAGATGATGAAGTTCATCCCGGAGTTCGTGAGCGCCACCATGTTCAAAAAGTTGTACAGCCCCAACGGGACATACGTCACGAAGTTCAGCCCCAGGCACACAACGGACGGCGTCATGCAGACGAAGAAGACGCCGAACACGGTCAGGAAAAACTTGACGGTTTTCGCCGTGCTCCTGGACATCGTGGCAGTGGATGTCCCCTTGAAGCCAGCGGGACCGGCGACGTGAATGGCTTGCCGTTGTTTGAAGGCCGTGCGCAGGATCAACGAGTACATGACTAGGATCACGAGGACCACTGCGAAATAGATCCCCCAAGTGCTGTAGAACAGATACCACGCCGGTAGGACGCGTTCACCATCGCATTTAGGGACCTCGTCGAATGACGTGTGAATAAAATGGGGCAGGACGACGTAGCCCAGTGATACGGTCCACGCCGTGGACACAAGACTCGCCACCACGCTGCCCGTCATGACCCTCTCGTAAAAATACGGTTTCGTTATGTACAGGTAGCGGTCCACGGACACGAACGCCATGTGGAATATTGAGTTCCCGGCCATACCGAGATTGATCCCGTTCATCAGGACGCACAGATCGATGTATCTGTAAAACAAAGCCACCCGTGTCGGAGGCAGGACGAACAGCGCCGTCGGAATGAGTCCGAGTCCGATGACGAAATCGACGGAAGCGAGACTGACAACGTAGATGTTGGCGAGAGTCCTCAGGGACGGCGTGCGGCTGACCACAAGGATGGTCAATGTGTTGACAAGGCAGATGAACACGGACAGCATTAACGCCAGTGCAAACATGAAGGCGTCTAGGAATGGGATATTCGTTGACTCGATCCATGCCTGAGTACTTGTGTTGCCGGCATTCATGTCCGTTCCTGGTTCTGACATAAGAAAACGTATCAAAATATAATGTCCAGACGAGCTTTCGCGTTCTGAATAATGGTTTCGCGAAAACGTTGGTTACTCCTTTAAATTAATAAATTGATTGAAAATGGACTTGAGGTCTTTGATCAAACACATAAAGTCACGCTTTTAGATTTATCTGATACTCCAAATAGAAATAATCAATATATATTGTCAATTGATTTAGTCAATGAATACAGCCTTGCATTCTTCGTAAAATACTTTGAATGCTGGGTAATACAATAAATAATAACATGACACCATATATGAAGAGAAACATCAAACTTGTCACAGGTGATGCATGTGCTACATCGTCACGCTCCAATGTTCACTGAAGTGTGAACCAAAATTTTCGTACTCCAATGTCCACATAGGTTTGCACTAAAATTAACTTACTCCAATGTCCACATAGGTTTGCACTCAAATTAACTTACTCCAATGTCCACATAGGTTTGCACTCAAATTAACTTACTCCAATGTCCACAAAGGATTGAACTAAAATTAACTTATTCCAATGTCCACATAGGTTTGCACTCAAATTAACTTACTCCAATGTCCACATAGGTTTGCACTCAAATTAACTTACTCCAATGTCAACATAGGTTTGCACTCAAATTAACTTACTCCAATGTCCACATAGGTTTGCACTAAAATTAACTTACTTCAATGTCCACATAGGTTTGCACTCAAATTAACTTACTCCAATGTCCACATAGGTTTTAACTAAAATTAACTTACTCCAATGTCCACATAGGCTTGAACTAAAATTAACTTACTCCAATGTCCACATAGGTTTGAACTAAAATTAACTTACTCCAATGTCCACATAGGCTTGAACTAAAATTAACTTATTCCAATGTCCACATAGGCTTGAACTAAAATTAACTTATTCCAATGTCCACATAGACTTGAACTAAAATTAATTTACTCCAATGTCCACATATGTTTGAACTAAAATTAACTTACTCCGAGGTGCACACATGTCTGAGCTAAAAAGAATGTTCTCCGAATGTCTAAAGCTTTCTATACCGCCAGCTTAACTAACATGTTCTTGTTAGTTTTAATATTTCATGATCAAGTCACAGGTAGTCTCGTCCATCCTAAGAGCTCGTGAACTTAATTTTCTTGTAAAAGCGATGAAGCAGGTAATATTTTAAAACATGTTTTACAGATGCTTTTAAGGTGTGCGCCTTAAATAAAATGACTGTTGCTAATCTAATTATTCCCAACTTTAGTTCAACACGAGAGACTCTGCCAAGTTCGGCCTGAACTGCATTGTTACAAGAAGCTAGATGTGGCTTTGAAAGTGCTGTAAAAGAAATTCTAGGTCGTCAAAATTTAAATGTATTAAAATTCAATTGTGTCTTGAAATTTATACATAAATAAAGCTAACGATACGTTTTTTACAATTGTCAAATGAAGTGTTTCTTTGAAATGTCAACTGATATGTTGTATAGAAGTGTCATCTGATGTGTTGTATAGAAATGCCAACAGATGCATTGTATAATATGTCATCTGATGCGTTGTATAGAAATGTCAACTGATGTGTTGTATAGAAATATCAACTGATATGATGTATAGAAATGTCAACTTTAGTCCTCTCTTAAAAAGTAGGCATATCACATTGTTAAGATACTTGCAATACAGGTACTTCTTTCAGCAGATGTCAATGAATTTACTGTTGTTCCAGAGCTTTCTCCAAGGCACCGTGACGGCCATACAACCTTAAATCCGTTTGCCTTAATCAGGTGACATGTCAGTGGTCAGTTTCACATGATGACCAAAATTTTGCATCAGATGAACATTAATTATACAAGAAATATCAGAACTCTTCTTTTTTTTTTAAAACAGCCAGAATGTACGAGTTTCTACGAAAACTGCATCTCTGTATCAACCTTGTCATGCAGGCCCTTCCTTCCTAACAGACCAATAGTCAGAAACTCAACAACATGGCAGCTTCGGTTAAAAAGAAACGTTTGAGGAAAAAAAAGATCCTTTCAGTTCTTTTAATGATTATACAGCTCAGTGGTGGGTGCACTGCCATTGAAATCGTTCTACTTTCAGTTAATTATAGATCAATTATAAATCAAACCAAGGACGTTTACCAGATATGGAATTTGTGTAAAACCGTGGAATGAAGTTTTGAATTCATTAATTATTCACGACCTTTCCACCAATAGGAAAACATTTTATTCTCTCCCCCCCCCCCCGGGAACCTACTAAAATCTCCCAGAAGGCCATGGTTTGCTGACATGTCGACGTGTGCAATCCACCACTGAAGTCGGACTGCAGNCTTAAATCCGTTTGCCTTAATCAGGTGACATGTCAGTGGTCAGTTTCACATGATGACCAAAATTTTGCATCAGATGAACATTAATTATACAAGAAATATCAGAACTCTTCTTTTTTTTTTAAAACAGCCAGAATGTACGAGTTTCTACGAAAACTGCATCTCTGTATCAACCTTGTCATGCAGGCCCTTCCTTCCTAACAGACCAATAGTCAGAAACTCAACAACATGGCAGCTTCGGTTAAAAAGAAACGTTTGAGGAAAAAAAAGATCCTTTCAGTTCTTTTAATGATTATACAGCTCAGTGGTGGGTGCACTGCCATTGAAATCGTTCTACTTTCAGTTAATTATAGATCAATTAAAAATCAAACCAAGGCCGTTTACCAGATATGGAATTTGTGTAAAACCGTGGAATGAAGTTTTGAATTCATTAATTATTCCCGCCCTTTCCACCAAAAGGAAAACATTTTATTCCCCCCCCCCCCCCCCGGGAACCTACTAAAATCTCCCAGAAGGCCATGGTTAGCTCAGATGTCGACGTGTGCAATCCACCACTGAATGCGGACTGCAGTTCCGGACAAATTAACGTTTAAAACATTGAGACTCTAATAAAATATGACCTTTATCAATTGCTATAAATTTTGGATTGGAAAAGACATATTGAAAAACGCTGATATTTCTAATTGATTTAAAAATAGAATGGAGTTTTGCTTGCTTGGAGGTCATACGATGGCAGTGAGGTCAATGGCCCATGGCTCTATCTCGCTTTGATATCCGCAGACATTTAAGGGCAAAGAAATTAGTCGTCAGCGAATGAATTAGAAAAAAAATCTCACTTCTATAAACATGGCCCCCCACTCTGTAAACTTAGGTCCCCGCTCTGTAAACCTAGGGCCCCCTATGTAAACATGCCCCCACTCTGTAAACTTAGGTCCCCACTCTGTAAACCTAGGGCCCCCTATGTAAACATGCCCCTCCACTCTGCAAACTTAGGTCCCCCCTCAGTAAACCTAGGGCCCCCTGTGTAAACATGGCCCCCCACTCTGTAAACTTAGGTCCCCGCTCTGTAAACCTAGGGCCCCTATGTAAACATGGCGCCCCACTCTGCAAACTTAGGTCCCCGCTCTGTAAACCTAGGGCCCCCTGTGTAAACATGGCCCCCCACTCTGTAAACTTAGGTCCCCGCTCTGTAAACCTAGGGCCCCCTATGTAAACATGGCCCTCCACTATGTAAACTTAGGTCCCCGCTCTGTAAACCTAGGCCCCCCTAAACATGCCCCCGCTCTGTAAACTTAGGTCCCCGCGCTGTAAACCTAGGGCCCCCTATGTAAACATGGCCCCCCACTCTGTAAACTTAGGTCCCCGCTCTGTAAACCTAGGGCCCCCTATGTAAACATTGGCCCCCACTCTGTAAACATTGGCCTCAACTCTGTAAACCTAGGCCCCCACTCTGTAAACCTAGTCCCCCACTCCGTAACCCTAGGCCCCAACTCTGTAAACCTAGGTTCCCACTCTGTAAACCTAGGCCCCCACTACATAAACATAGGCCCCCACTCTGTAAACATAGGCCCTTGCTCTATGAACATAGGCCCCAACATTGTAAACACAGGCCCTCGCTCTGTAAAGATAGGGCCTCACTCTGTAAAGATATGTCCCCGCTCTGTAAAACTAGGCCCCAACTATGTAAACATAGAACCCCCCCCCCCAACTGTGTAAACATAGGCCCACGCTTTGTAAAGATGCACACCCACTATGTAAAGAAGGGTCCCACTCTGAATACATTTGCCCCCACTCTGTAAACATAGGCTCTAATTGGCTGCCCATGGCTCTAAATGGCAGCCCATGGCTCTAAATGGTTGCCCATAGCTATAAATTGTAGCCGTGAATAATTTCCTCAGATCATTTCGACCCACTTTCCTTTTAAAAATGTATTCGTAATTATTAATGAGAATAAAAAATTTTTAAAAATAAAAATCAAAAGAATGATAGAAGGGGCGTATCTACTGAAAGAAGAAAGGAATGAGGCACGAGTAGATTCATTTGATAGAAATGCGACTGGACCGACTGGTTCTTCGAAAAAGATTTCTCCGAAAGTCGTCTTTTCAAACTATCAATAAATTGTTAGGATGAAATTTTCACTATAAAAATTAATGAGTTGTTGTACTCGGTATTTTTCCGATTACTTGAGCGCGTGTGTGTGCTGTGGTGGCAGTTTTGAAATCAATGACTAAGCTTAGATTTACTCATTGTAACCATGATTAGTTGAATGGACCTCGAGAAGTTTCCGCCCCTTGACACGGCACAGGTTTATCTCCAATGTGTTTCGTCGGTGACTTTGTAAGAACTACATGTTTCGAGACAGTCCCCTAAAAGAAACACAAAATTTCATGACATAATACCAAACGCTTAAACCAGTGCTCGGTAAATCACTGCTTATGCGGCTCTTAGGCGTCCTGAGTGCGGCTCGGCCAGTCGGCCACAAATCGGTTTTGACTCCCTAAAAACACGGGTCTTGACGGGTTCTTGAAAAGAAATTTGTCTCTCAAAAATTTTGAAATCCTCCTGCTGCTGATTTTTTTGGCTCTGTTGATTCTTGAGTTTGCCAAACATTTGTGATTCTATAAACAGATTCGGAAATGTTGCTTGTTCAGTCCAACTAAACATGATTGTGACACTCAAAAGG